ATGCTAGTTAACATTCGTTCCAATCAGTTGTTGGCTCTCACGCTGACCAATAGAATCTTCCTGCCTATTCGTGGCAGCCAGCTATAGGCTTTCACTCTGGCCAGTACAAAATGGCTGCAAACTACATGAAAACTGCCATAGAAGCATGAAAAAATCGATTATTTCCACTATCGATGGGAGTTGGGAAATGCAAAGTCAGTCTTGGCCTTTCCGCTAACTTGGAGCATGTGCATGTAAATTTTGGTGCAAATCCATCGAAAATTGCGACCGTGCATTCATTACACACACACATACATCCTGCTTTTTATTTATTTATATATATATATATATATATATATATATACTATTTACATTATAACTGATAACTGACATCCATTAAACATGGCACATGGAACTAGAACAGTCTACCCCAGTAAGCGAAATAAAGGGTTCAGTTCAACATTCCAACCACCTGAAGAAAGCCAGAGTGTACAACGGCCGAAACGTTGTAATAAATATGGCAACAAAGATAAGGACAGTAGTCCAAATACAGTAAATAGTGTACATAATACCTCATCTCATAAAGAGATATATATATATATATATATATATATATATGATCCAGTGTTCTTTAGACTACATGATCTCAGAGAGCATCAAAGCCCAGTAAGGTCCCATTCATCCTTTTATGGAAAACACGTCTTTTTATTCAGACTTTCTCAAAAAATCAATTTTATATCTGAAATATAAACAAAGCAATTTCTAAAGAATTATTGGATTTATTTTTTACCTGATCCTTTTATTATTTCGAACATTATAAGACAGATGCCCCGTTCTTTTTAAACAGTATGTATTAGGTGTACGGTCCTTTACTTTTGGAGATGGAATCAAGTAGATATGGGTTTGCAAGAAAATCTGAATGAGGTGATATGTATTCATTAAAGGGGTAAATAGAACTTTCCTCAGCTGCAATGCTCTCTGTGACCGAGTGGTCAAAAGCACATGGGATCAGATGGTGGTTTCTTATATATATATATATATATATATATATATATATATATATGTGTAAATATAAAAGTGAACATTGAAGTCAGTGCTCAGAGGCGACAGGCTGTTTCATGCTAGATGCAATCATCAAGCAGCCTGATAACTGCGTTTAGCATGAAACATACTGTTGACTCTGGGTGTTGACTTCAATGTTCACTTTTATATTTACATACACTCTATCTCTGATACTGAGCACTTTTAACCCATAAATATAGCACAACTTAAAACTATATATATATATATATATATATATATATATATATATATATATATATATGTATATATGAAGCTCTTCAGTAAAATAAATGGAGCACTTGGCTGCTTGGCGTGTTTAGATTTGTAAAAACAATATACTAGATTTGGCTGACTTGTTCTATCGAGTGAAGATGGCTCAGTAGTAGAAGCTCTGACTGACACCAAATCAGTTTGGTTTTGATCCAGGCTTGAGGCATTCAGTTGTCTAGTCGCACCGAGGAGCTGTGATACAGCGAAACAGTACTGTCTGTGAATTATATATATATATATATATATATATAGAGAGAGAGAGAGAGGATGCCAAAAAAATGAATACACACTTCAGGAAAAGAAAAACTTGTATAGATATTGTAATACTAAATTTATTCAAACATCACAAGATTAATACACATTACAATTGAAACACAAAATGGTGGCCTTTAGTTTACAGACATTTATTAGTATGACAAATTTCTACTTGGACAACGTTGGCCAAAGTAAGTGTCCAGTGGGATTGAGCATTTTCAATTTCTTGTCTATGGACTACCAATGTAGTCAGTTTTCTTTGATGCACAACATCCTTTGGGGGCTTCCATAGGAAACAGTGTTATTGCAAGTTGATAAAAATATGAAGGACTCTGTATGTGTGTGTGTGTGTGCAAACAGGAGTATGTCAATTCGGATTTTTCATTGTAGCATCGTACTTCTCCCGTGTTTTCTTCTAATTTCAAATTCTTTCAAAATAGACCACCTGGAAAAAAATCATCCAAAATGGTCCTTTTGATAAAATCAAATCCTCTACAAAGAACCATTAAAAAAAAAATATCCTCCAAAATGCTCCATTTGAAAAAAATCTTCATTTGAAAGCATTCCTCCAAAATGGCTGACATGGAAAAGAAAAAAAAAAGTAATAAAGAAAAAATTCTGAACATACTGCCTACCTTGGCATTTCTTTAATTAAGGTATTTGATTTCTGTCTGAACTTTTAAAACAACTAAAACAAAAGAACTGATTGGTGAGAATGTAAAATCCATTTTCCAACCAAACTTTTTCTTTTTTTAATAAAAAGCAAGAGGGTTCTGTTTCTTTCAGATGCAGTGGCAAAGATTCAAAAATGGTTTTTGCCTAAGAAAAAAATGTTTCTCATGATTTTTGGCAGTTTCCAGCCTGTACATCAATGGAAGAGATCCGGTGCATTCTTAAATACTGAAATAAAAACACACAAAGAGTCACTCATATACATAGACAAAACAAGGAAATTTTAAACCACAAGGAAAACCACATCCACAAACAGAAATATATGTATGAAAAAAACAGAATACATGAGAAAGATGCATGTTCTTCTTGTTATATATATATATGTGTGTGTGTGTGTGTGTGTTTATAGCAGAATATGGAAGTGCAGAGTTGGCCTAATGGTTAAAAACACAGAAAGTAGAACTGAAAATCTGAGTTCAAATTTTGTCAACCATTTTTGAATACCAGACGTTGCACTAATTTACATTATGGAAGCAGCAAGGAGTAATACCTGACCTGACTTACTGGGAGATGTGGGTACATGCCTTTATTTATTTGAAGTGAATTAGAAACTACCTTTCAGAAAATTAAAACTCAGATTACCATTCTTAAACAACCCTGTGCTTCCATCTTAAACTATAAACATGCATGCATGTATACACACACATTTTTTTACACTGTTGTTCATTATGTACAAGGCCTGAGGGCCCCTTGAGGTAGAGAGTTACAAAGTAAGTGGCACAGCTTATGCGGATATGTGTGGAAGATAACCTTAGACTTGAACAGGTTAGGACTATAGTGGTAATTTTCTAAGTGTGTTCACAAGGCCAAAAGTATGTGGCACTCAGTAAGGATCAAACTCACTATTTAGTTGTAATTGATCTAGTGAAACAAGCTAACCATTATACCCCATTGAAGTGCCCAGGTTAAGATTGTAGTGATCGGAGAAGCATCCTCTTGGGAGTCAGTTCCACAAAGTAGTGGTTCATAGGAAGCTGCTCAAATGGAACTTACATCTCACCAAAGAAATATGAAGAGAATGAGTGTGTTTCACTACAATGTGCACATCTTAGCCATGAAGGTTCATACTGGTAGAACTAGGGAATGTAGTTCATCTGAACACTTTCCATAGATATAGTTGTAGGGGTTGAAGGGTGGAAAATAACTTGTCACCCACAAGGATACAGAGATACTTTTGGACTCTTTTGAGACAGAAGACTGTCCATATATAGCATCATTACTCCCTTTTTCGATATGATTTGGCTTGTGTAAAGACAGAATATAGCAAGGAAATGCAGATACTTACAGGAGTAGTACAAGGAACCAACCTTTTTTTCAGCATTTTTAGCAGTGGATCATATATACAAGGTCCACTTAAGTTCTGGGCTGAGTTGAAGTCTTAATAGGGGCTTAAGGCATGAAACCTCTCTGAGGGAACATCCATTCATTACAATTGGTGAAAGTTCTGGGTCTGATTACCAATGGCGGAATGTCACTAGTTTGGCTATATACAAGGTACAAAGGATAAATTGTTGTCTAAATTATGCAAAAATAAAAATAACACTGACATCTCATTTTAAAAGAATGCTGCCATAATCCTTGCCTTCGGTTCATCTTTGGTCTTACAAAGAGTTTTGTTCAACTGCGCCCACACATAATAATCAAGGGGGTTGCAGTTAGGTAGCCAGATGTTGGTGAGGATGTTGTTGCAGAAATTGTTTGATACCCATCACTATGTTCTACTTGTGTGACCTGGTGCAGAGACCTGTTGCTAGACAAAGGGTCTTCCAGCAGCTACCCTATTGATCCAGGGCAGTACTACCAGCTCAAGGCAATTGATGTAGGCCTCTATGTAGAGTCTGAGGCCCTGTGGGAAGATGCATGGAGACATAACTTTGCCATCACTAGTGATCACTCCAAACACCTTCGTAATCACCTTTAGATTCATCCAACTCTTTCTGAATCCTCTGCACTGTCCTCAGATTGACATCCAAACACTGAAATGTTTGTGCTGCAGTACAGCATGCTGTTTCCAAATTTTTGGCAGAGTGAATTGCTCTTTTTCTCACAGATGGTGCCCAACTGACCCTACTATACTGTGCAGTCAACAAAATAAAAAATAAACAATCTGAATGCACAAAATTTTAAAATATAACATGGTGACAATCGCACCCTGTGTATATTATATATTTCTGTTTAATAAACTTCAAATAAATGTCCTTGCAAAAGCATGAACCTACAATAAGTCAGGTAAGGTATTACCCGCTTGCTGCTAGTACAATGTAACCTAATACAACCTGTGACTTTGAGAAGAAATGGGCACCACCACCAAGTAACACTCTATTTCTTCAAGAAATACCATGAAAGACCCAGAAATCTGGTAATCTAGAAATCATGGCATAAATTTTGGCATGCATTGTATGTGCATGTGTGAGGTTTCATTGATTCATTGATTTGTTTTTTATAGCTTATCAACATTTTGAAGGTTATTTAAAGCCAGAGATATTTTTAGACTGTAAGAATTTTTTTGAGATAATAATAATTTAATGATACAAGTCATACTAATTAACCCATAACTGTTGGAGAAAAGGTGGATTCATACATTTCCCAAGGGTATTTGCACCAAAGTGAATATAATGAGCCTGACTGGAACTGGAACTCAGCTCTTTGACTTCCAATTGCCAGTCATTATCCATTACACCACCTGTACATTCACACTTAAAGTACCTGGTATTTTCAAGTGGTCACTCATCATAGGTACTGACCAGGCTTGAAGTTGCTTAACTTCAGTGATCATATGAGAACCAGTGTTTCAACATAATAAGACTGTAAGCTGTGTGTGCATAGTATAAAATACAAACATATCTTTCTCATAAATACTACATATAAACTAAATATCTAGTTTATCTATATATGTGTGTGTGTAGTAGTAGTGAGGGTGGCCTTTAGGTCTAAGGGGATGCAATTAAGAGTTTATTCACTAAAATGAGTTTAATTTTCTATGTGGAGGTTTGATTTTCTGAGGGTCAAAATACCCAGACCCCACACTTTGTTGACAGGCCTGTATATATACATATGTGTGTGTGTGTGCAGTCAGTATGTCTATACTCTTATAATCAAAAAGAAAACATATATTTATTTTTCAGCATAATTTCCTTTCTTGTTAATGCACTTAATCCACTGAAACTCCATTAATCACAGAGATCGAATATGATAGAACAGAAATTTCAGATGAAAATTCAGCTGAATAATTGCATAATAAATTCAGCCAATAATTGCATCTGGATATATATATATATATATATATATATATATATATATATATATATATATATATATATATATATATATATATATATACATATATATGCAGATATTTTTTTTCTTCCTATTACACACAGAATGTATATGCATATGTGTGTAAGTAGTGAGATTAATAATCATAGAGGGAGAGAGAGAGAGTTGTAGTGGGGCCTATACAGGGGCACTTCTAAGCAATCCAAACTCCCCCCAATGTCCATTGCTTGTGCTCACACTTGAACCATCTTCCCCAGAAAGAAAAAAAAATCATGGTTACCTCCCAGAAAAATGTTCTGGTTTTTGATTATGCCAAGTTATAAGCAAGTGGTGCATTACACTGACAAATTCTGAGTGCTGTGGGTAAGGAAAGGAGTTCTGTTCAGAAGTGGGTAGAGGGGGTATCTTTTAAAAGATTATTCTTTTGGCTGACAAGGCATCATGGGAAAAAATTGTTTTGTTTCTTCTCTCTGCATTTGTGTCTCTGTTGTTGATCTTTTTTTTTTTTTTTTTAGATTTTTTTTTTTTTTTTTTTCATATTGCTGAATTCATTGTCCATTTTCTTGCCCCACTCTCCCGTGTTTTCTTGTTTGGTCTCGCTTTTCTTATTATTATTTGTCTCTTATTTTATCTTTCTCCTGATGTTCTTTTCATTTTTACACTTTCTCCTCTCTTTAGCTCTGTTTCTTTCTCTTACTTTTCATTCTCAATTACCCTCACTACCATTTCTTTACTTTCTCTTACACCTGGTCTGTCGGTACTCTCACTTTTGGCAGTGTAGGATCCATACAACCCCTACAGTTCCAAGGTAAAAAAAAAAAACACCCTACAACCAAACCCCATCAAAATAAACAAGCCATTCCGATGATACTTTGAGTGGATCCAAATGATCCATTTAAAAAGCATTTGTCCTACTCTGTTGTAAAAACTTTTTGAAAAATAACATTGTGGTTTTTGTCAAGATCTCGACACCACATAAGAATTCCTGACATGATGTCTAAAAAAAGGTATTAATTCCAACATCAACAATTAATGCATAACTGTCTGAGGGTTAAACTCTCATAGTCAAATGCTGACTTACGTCCAGTTGCTAATCCTAAGTCTGGAAAGCAGAATGAAAATAATCTACCTTCATGAATTGAATAAAGTGTTTTGTTCAAAATTCTGAGATGGTTAATGAATAAGACAGATATCTGAGGAAAGATGGAGTTTATACCAGCTAAAATTTTTGGAGTATAGCAATGAAGATGTGCATGCTGATGCAAATATAAAGGAAAACAGCAATGATAATTTATAGATTGTATTAAAATAAACACTACAGTGACAATTTTTCATAGGGAGACTACCATGAACTTTTTAAAAAAAATTTATACTCAGGTGGGATAAAATAACTACATCAAAACATTTGACATGTAAGCACAAAATACCAGACATACAATAATATACACAATGTACACCTGCATTATAGTACATATATATACACTATTTACATTATTCGGACTGTTGTCCTCATCTTTGTCACCATATTTATTACAACGTTTCGGCCATGTACACTCCGGCCTTCTTCAGGTGGTTGGAATGTCAAACTGAACCCTTTATTTCGCTCACTGGGGTAGACTGTTCTAGTTCCACATGCCATGTTTAATCAGTTACCTCCTGTTAATTCCGGTTATTGAGTTCACACTCTTTGGGTCCTGTCACTGGATCTAAGTAACGCCTTTATCCACTGTGCCATGTGTCCTTGAGGACATCTGTATATGAATTTCTGGGTATTATAAACCTAATATATGTATGTGTGTGTGTGTATATATATATATATATATATATATGACTGAAATCTATATGCATAGACCTTTTATTGTTTTATATCTATGTGTACTCTATTTGATATGGAAAAAAATACACTGTATTTTATAATATTTTTCTAGTCTTATAACCATGGAGTAGTAAATTAAGATTAAATAAGATATCCGAGATGGTCAATGGAAAGGGGACAGTCTACACTGCAACTTATATAAAGGGTTCAGTTCCACGTTATAGGAAGGTCACCCAGATTGACAAGCAGCACATGAACATTGGAGGGCACAACAGTGAGGGGAATGTTGTGATAACAACAACAAATATGAAGACAAAAGTGCCCCCACTGCATAAAGTAAATAATGATAAAATATATATATATATATATATATATATATATATATATATATATATGACTGAAGTCTATAATATTTGCATAAAGCTTTTATTGTCTTATATTCATGTGTATTCTATTTAGTATGGGAAAAGTACACTGTACTTTATAATATTTTTCTAGTCTCAATAGCTTGCAAGATACCAGCAGTCAAGATAAAACTGCATTCCATCTTGTTCTGTGTTTGTATTTTTTTCTTACAATATAAACAACTTTGCAAAAATAAAATTCTCCACTGGACAAAAATCATAGAACAACTTCCTCTAGTATTTCTTCTTTCAACTGGTACCATGACCCTAGCAGCAGGCATCTGTCAGTCTTGGGAGATTATAGAATCTACTATAGTGGCTAGCTAATCCATATTGCAGATATCTGTTCAGGCATGTTTATACTCTTTCAATAACCGCAAAGCCCACTGGTGGTTTATACTGTGACTAAAATTGGTGGACATTAGTTATAGTTTCTGGGAGAGAGTGTATAATCTGGTGTCATTAATTGTTGAATAAGCCCAGTGTACACAAACGCTCAATTATGATGACTTGTGGTTTGTGATAGCACAAAAATCAAACTCTTTTGTCTACCCAATTTCACTCACAAGGATTGGGTCAACCTGTGGTATGTCTTTTTTCAGACACTTCCCAATGGAGCCATGTATTGGAAGAGTTGTCAGTACTATCAAGAATTCACATATCTGCTAAGTTAACTATAGTGAGATATGAATCTGGTTTGTTTCATTTTACAGCATAGCAACACCTCAATGGGTTATTTAATGCTGACAAGATTCTTATTGCTGGTAATATTTTTTTTTCAAAAATGTATTGCTGATATTAAAACCTATTTTTACACTTTCATAGTGTTTTGACTCCAGTTTGGGGGTTAACTATTTGCCCATAGCTGGGACGCTAACAGGTACTGCTACTCCAGGTCAGGGTGGACCTGGGAACACCAGCAATTAGGATGGGGTTCCATGCTCTTCAAAACCTCCTGATCAGAGGCCTTGCTGCTGGATGTAGTTTATCGTCTTACCCAGGATGCAGATGTAGTTTATCATCTTACTTAGGATGCAGATATAGTTTATCGTCTTACCTAGGACATGGATATAGTTTATCACCATACCTAAGATGGTATGAATCTGGATCTCATGGTTAACATTCTAAACACTTAGAGATGCTATAATGATCAATTTTACATGAAAATGTTTTGGGCATTTGTTTCAAAAGTCCTTGAGGGTTCCTAGTCATTATCTAAATATATGAAAATATAAAGTATGTGATGGTACCTAAAAATAGTTAGATTATAGTGGCCCCTAAAAATATTAAATGCAGAAAGAAACCTAAAAATATTTGATGTATAATCACATCTAAGAATATTAAAGGTATAATAAAAGCTAAAAATGGTAACATTATAATGGCTTCTAAAAATATTAAATGTATTAAATATATAATGACAACTATAAATATCAAATATATGATGAAAAATGAAAATATTTCGAGCATAATTATATCTAAAAATATTAAATATATAATGGCACCTAAAAATATTAAATATATAATAGCACCTAAAAATATTAAATGAAAAATCATATCTTAAAATATTAAATGCATGATAGAAACTAGAAATATTAAATATATAATGGAACCCAAAATATTAAGAGTACAATGGCTCTTAAAAGATTAAATGTTTAATCATATCTAAAAATATTTAATGTCTGATGATACCTAGAAATATTAAATATATAATGTAATTTAAAAATATTAATTACATAATGGCACCTAGAAATATCAAATATATAAATGAATAAATATATAATGAATATATAATGGCATATAAAAATGTCAACAGTACAATGGCTCTTAAAATAGTAAATGTATAGTCATATCTAAAAATATTAAATGAATGATGGTACCTAAAAATATACAATGGCACCAAAATTATTAACTATGTAATGGACTTAAAAATATTAAATATATAATGGTTCTTAAAATATTAAATGTATAATAATATCTTAAAATATTAAATGTCTGACTGCATCTAAAAATATTAAATATATAATGGCATCTAACAATATTAACAGTACATTGGTTCTTAAAATATTAAGTGTATATTCATATGTAAAAATATTAAATGATGATACCTAAACATATGAAATATAGAATGGAACCATATTTAACAATATTAAATGTAAAATCCTATTTAAAAATATCAAATATATAATGACTCCAAAAAGTATTAAATATATAATGGGACCTAAAAATTTTAAGAGTTCAACTGGCTCTTAAAATATTAAATGTTTAATCATATCTAAAAATATTTAATGCATGATGGCAC